TTGCGAAACGTCAGGAAGAAATTCTACCGAACGACGGCCTAAAAACCCGAAAAACCCATTAGTTTTACTATTTCGGTAATTTGCAACTTGGGCAATGTTTATGTTTGCTTCATTGCTTCCAGTCGAATTTTGTAATTGTTCTTCGGCTCTGTGCGATTCTTAGCGCGCGTCCTCCTCCTGTTCATGTTAGTGTAATAATAATCTCATTTACCTCACCTGATGAACGTAGTTTTTGTGTAAAACGCATTAATCGCAGTCATTGAGGATAATTGCCCCCTTTGCCGACTGCAACGTGCAATTATTCTATTTATACCCGTTTAAATAAATAGTGTTTAATTGTTTGTTCTGCGACTTTGGGTTTTTTATGCACCTCGCATTGAAAATCCCGAACTTTCTCGTGCACCTGATTAATAATGGTTGCTTTGGATGCAAATCGAAGAAAAAACGTCAATGGAAAGTCCGGATTGCAAGCGATTTTTCTTAAATCAGCTCAACACTCAACCAGAGAAAAATGACCATCATATCGGAGGTCTTTATATGCAAATCCGGCGAATCAACATTATGGCTGTGTTGATAATCATAATGGATTTTAACTGAAATTGCGTCGGTTTTATTGCAAAAATGGGCATTTCAGTAATTGCTTGCATATCGGCATTGTGTTCGAAACCCGCGCCGGATTTTCGATTTTAAACACTTCGCCACTAATTTGTCGTGTCAATATCGAGCTACAAAAAAAAATTGCCTATTTTTCCGCCGTGACAAATGCTTGAAAAATAATGCTCAATCCTGGCACGTAATTTCGCGCTGAAAAGACATCCGTTGATTGGTCGTAAAACGGAAAAATTAACAGCGACTTTTACTACTTTTTAATTTATCGCCGCAATTCGGTCTTGAAACACATTCAAATGCAACGCGTGTCCAAGTTTGGTACTTTGTATGCAATTGGACAGACAAGTGCCGTCCATACGAAAACCCTTTAAATTGGTACATTTGATCTGTTATTGTCCTAGTTTTGGCCTTCCACGACTAGGAAAACCCCGCAGTCTTGCTCTTGATAATTTTTCCTGAATGTTTAATTCGATTATAATTGTAAAACCCCACATGACTGGCAACTGTTAGAGCAAATTCTTGATATCCTTTCTAGCCTTCAGGGTTTTCCTTGGCTGAATTAGTCATCGCCCATGTCTTTGCCCGTGCTCTTAAGCCTGTGTCCCATGCATCCGTTTATACGATGATACGATGATACGAAAGTGTTTCTATTGGTTGGAGATCTGTCAATTTGTCCGGCGGCGGACGAATTGACAGATCTCCAACCAATAGAAACACTTTCGTATCATCGTACCATCGTATAAACGGATGCATGGGACACAGGCTTTAGTCCCATCAGCAGCTAAATATGTACATTTCATCATGTTCGATAAAAGTGCGAGCTGTTCTGGCATATCGGCTAGTTGGACGATTGAAAGAAACGCAACGCAGTCAGAAACCGCGATTTCCATAAGGTTGGTTCCTTGCGTTTACCGCAAAACCCTATAAATATCCGGTAACAATGGCGCTTTTACTCAATCATTTAAATATGATTAATAACACGCTTTGATAACATTGTTTGCGCTGGCTGGTATTCATGCGACCAAATGGGGGTTTTGTCCCACTTGTCCATTAAGTGAAGAATCATGGAAGTTTACTTTGCAGGAAATGGCATTTGCAGCTCACCAAAGTGGACGTTTTTTCTTCATTTCGGGCCGATTACTCGAAATTATTGCAACTCGTTCTTATGGGGGTTTCGATTCTTGGCACGCCACATGGCACGCGCCCAAATACCGCAAAACTTGAGAATAAGTCGACAAGCCCAAACTTGCCACCGCAAAAATGGAAAATAATGTTGTAATTGGGTGCGCATATGTCCAGTTCGGCAGATGGATCTGAGCGCTAAAATTGGAGCCCCGAAGGGCTTCGGATGAGTTAAATGGCCAATTAATGTCTTCATTTCGTGCGGAGGTCGTCAGTTCTTCTGAGCTTCAGCTTGCGTACATTGAAAAAGTGATCGGTGGTGCAAAGAGTCTCAACCAGCTCCCACGCCACGTAGCGCACAGTTGCGCGCAATTCAGCATACAGTTCCGCGCGGTAACAAACGCGTTGCCACGGTAACCACGTCGGGTTGATCACAACGCAGGGGTTGGGACAAGTTACTTTGCACCACTGATTTGGTTAAACCTGCCGAACTCGGCTGAGCAGAAACAATTGGGAATTTTTTGCTTTAAGCTGGTAAGTCCCTTACCTCGTCCACTTCTTCCAACAAATCGCAAGTCGTTAAACTTGGCTTCGCCATTCTTCATGACTGCGCTGTAGTTGCGCATTTCGGCCGTGCAATTTTCGTCATTTCCCGCTTGCACCACCACTTTGGTACCATCCAGAACCTCGGTGGCGGCGATCACTCTGAACCCCATCGGCAGCGTCTTGTTCGACCTCCAATGCTCCGGCAACTTGGAGCAGAGAATGTAGGGGCTGCCGGTGGGGGCGAATTGCTCCCCAGGATGCTCCCCCTGGATCTTGTAGAGCATGTCGTTGATGCAGTCCTCGTAGTTGGGGTAGGGTGGGGGGAAACTGGCTGGGTCGCACATGGTGGTGCGCGGCCACGCCTCTTCGGATATGTTGCAGCTCTGGACGGGGAGATGCATCGGAGGGTGGTGGCTGGGTATTTTGGAGGCTTTTCCCCGAAACTCCTGCAACGCGCTTAGGTCAGCTGGTGAGCGGGTTTCTTGGGGAGCTCTACCTTTTCAGCCACCTTTTCTCCATGTTTTCATCACCTGCAACGCGAGGGTGATAAGTGATTGAGAAGGATTTTCGGTTTGCAATGTTGTTACTTCATTTGATTTTAATTTGGAATGTTGTTACTGTGCAGATGCTTATAATTATCAAACTTTGAGGCTATCAGGTTCTATAGACTAACGCAAACACGTGAAAACCTGCTCTAAACTAGAGGAAACTAGCGGACGTTAAACTGTAGATTAGGTACAGGAGAGTTTTAAGGCGACTTAGTGGATTGCTTACAGTGGTTGGTTCAATTTTCCATTTAGATTTTCTTAGCTCAAATTGCTTCACTGCTCTGCAAAAAACTTTTCTAAACTTATTGAGCAATAATCTCCAATTTAAAGGCAGGAAAGTGTCCATGACTTTTTTTAGATGTGAAAATTCCAGTCTCGGGTCAAGCTTTAACAAATGAGTTATAACTCGTTAGCTCAGAGAGCGGCGGCAGCTCAATAGCGCAACTCGACACAGTGTTACCCAGGCCTAAGAGCGGCGGTTTCTCGGTGCGCTTAATTGAACATCTTTAACCTAATCGTATACAAATCATATATTTTGCGTCAAATATTGGCTGAAAGCAACAATTGCGCCAAATCATCAAACGGCCTCGACTATTCAGGTAGTAAAGTAATCATTCGTTTTGCCCGATTCAAGTTAGTTGAAGATGTAGAAGATTTCTTTTAATCTTAAACGCGGCAGTCTATTGGCCGATCTGAGAGCCAAAGTGTTTGATTTTTGCTTGCATAAAAAAACGGCTAAAAACAACAAAATTTTAAACAGTTCATTGAATTGTGAGTTAACGTTAGAACAAAACCCGTTTGTCGCAAACTGTGCAGAAATTCCAAAAAACCCAGAGTACGAAAAGTTTGCCATGGACGGAAAGATGAATCACTCGGGCGCACCAATCGCTTAAGTCGAGTTACTCACCATTCGGCGGGATTTTACGCGATATCACGTGAGCACTGAAGTAATCTATTAACTAAAGAAACCTTGTCTTTTTCACTGGGCAAATCAAGTTCATCTTCAGTTGGAACCAAACCACCCGGTAAAAGTTGTGCGCTTTTTCCCGTCGCGCTCCAATCGTCAATCACTACGCGCCAAACCTTCCGTTCCACGTTTGAGGAACAACTAGCGATCGGATCGGTCAGTGCAATCGTACAGTCATTCCATGGTAAAATTGTTGTTAACCTTCCCATTCTGTTCGTTAAACAAAGACAATAGGATGCCGCTAATGGCATGGTGGAGAGAGCAAGAGAACGGGCAAAAACCGTGCGCGTCATGGTTTGAGGGATGGTTATCGGCTCGGTGTTGATTCATAAAAGCGCGGCGAACGAGTGGTAGGAGGGATCTTGCCTTTCGAACGGTTTATACGGTTTTTAGCCTTAAATCGAGAGGAAATTGTGAAGAAAACGACGCGTAACCGAGAGCGGAAAAGGCGGGCCGACAAGGCGGGACTAGAGTTGCCCACTTTGCAATTGTTCAATGTTTTTGTTTATCGCTCCCAGCAGGCCGGGGCTATGCTAAATCGGCGCAATTTGGATACTTTTATTTAATTCTATGTAGGTGTTTTCTTAAGCTAGGAGGAGCCAAAGACTTGGCCATAGTTGGAGAGTTGCAGAGCAAACAATAACGTTATTAAACTATTTAGGGCCAATTTCTTTAAAAGTTTACTAAACAGTTTTATTCGGCAAAGTTCTTGTAAAGCGGGAACCGTGGGGCAAAGAGTCTTATCCTTAATTCGCGCCACGTGTCGCACACTTATGCCCAATACAGCACACACTTCCGTACGGAAACAAGCGGGTTGCCATGGAAACCAAGTCGACTTCAACAAAACACCGAGCTTGGGACAAGTTACTTTGCGCCGTCGATGTTTCTAAACGTCGTTAAACATTTGCAGGGTTTAGGCATTCGATTTACTTAACAACATCGTTTTTATTTCGCGTGCCAAATAGTCACTTTCTTTAAAGGTTTACTATGTTTTATGTGTGAAGTAAAATTTTTTTGAATTTTGAATTTTGAAAATTTTTCTTGTCTGTAATTTCGGGGTGATAATTTTATAGCTCTATCTGTAAGTTGAGTTATTACGCTTTTTTTATATTTTTGGGGTACATATGAGTTAGAGTTTAGATATCTTCCTGACCAAACTTCTTTTGTATACCAATTTGTTTTTATTTCACCTGAATTATCATAATGTATTGATTGATTTTTATCCTTTTCTATTGTACTATAAAATTTACAATGAAAAAGGATAAAAATATCTCTCACTCTCGCGCGTCGCGCCGAAACGTAATGAAATAAACGATATTCAAAAAATTTTTACTTCACACTTTGACTGAGACCCAAGAAAGATAAGAATATCATTTAAAAGTTTACTAAAGAAATTTATTTGGCAAAGTTCTATTAAACGGTGAACCGTGGGGCAAAGAGCCTGAGCCCTAATTCGCGCCACGTGTCGCACACTTATGCCCAATACAGCACACACTTCCGTACGGAAACAAGCGGGTTGTCATGGAAACCAAGTCGACTTCAACAAAACACCGAGCTTGGGACAAGTTACTTTGCGCCGTCGATGTTTCTAAACGTCGTTAAACATTTGCAGGGTTTAGGCATTCGATTTAATTAACAACATCGTTTTTAATTCGCGTGCCAAATAGTCACTTTCTTTAAAGGTTTACTATGATTTATGTGTGAATTAAAATTTTTTTAATTTTCACGTTTATTCATCATTAGATTTAAAATTTACACAAACTCATGATTGGTAAGCATACCGTCCTTTTAGGTCTTTGCCTTCTTGAAACCTTAAATTTGTCTGAATTATTTTCTACATTTGCGAGAGTGGTATGCATGTATTGAGATAAGCAGAAATAGTTTTAATTTTTCACTAGTGTACTGGGTGTTCCATACTTATGGCTCTATTAGAGTTTGGTAAATGCTGCTAAGGTTGTCGGTATCTGATCTGAAATTTACTGCTTTTGCATGTTTTTTTATTTGTATCATTTCTAGGATTCTTCTTTTATGATAATTTGTGTCCCTAACTAATATATCTGCGTTGTTAAAATCAAAATTATGCAACATTTGGTGTGCGTGTTGTGTTAATGCTGTTTTATTTTCCCTAGTATTTCTCAGACTGTATTTATGTTCGTACATTCTCTTTTTAAATATTGTTTAGTTTGTCCTATATATGTATTATCACATTCTATACAATTCACTCTATGTACAGAATTTGGTACATCCATTTTGTCAGTTTTTGGTTTTAGTTTTGGGAAACATTCAGTTGATAAGTTGTTTTTTGTTTTTTCCGCAATTATAATGTTGTGTGGTTTTAGTATTTTTTATTAATTTCTGGAATATTGTTATATTTAGTTGAGTTGTAAATCTTGTTAATCCTTCACTTCATTATTGGTTCAGAAATTTTTTTCGGTAGTTATTATTAAGTAATATTTTTTTAATTTTTTTAAAATTTTCTCGTCTGTAATTTCGGGGTGATCATTGTATAGCTCTATCTGAAAGTTACGCTTTTTTATATTTTTGGGGTGCATATGAATTAGAGTTTAGATATCTTCCTGGCCAAACTTCTTTTGTATACCAATTTGTTTTTATTTCACCTGAATTATCATAATGTATTGATTGACTTTTATCCTTTTCTATTGTACTATAAAATTTACAATGAAAAAGGATAAAAATATCTTTCACTCTCGCGCGTCGCGCCGAAAGGTAATGAAATAAACGATATTCAAAAAATTTTTACTTCACACTTTGACTGAGACCCAAGAAAGATAAGAATATCATTTAAAAGTTTACTAAAGAAA